ACCACCTAAAGCAATCTATAAATGCACAATCAGGTTTAAGTTGGCCAATCCATATGAACATCAAGTATTTGATACTAAAGATTCTTAATGCGACATACCATCCCCTATTAGCAAAATGTCTGGACCAACAGCATCCCTAAACAGCCTTGCATGAAGTTCTATGCCTGGTCCACATCTATTACAGAATAAAAAACAAACATATGCAGCTCAATGAGGCCATTTTCTGATTATTCCTTCCTAACCCACTAAACTGCTTCAATGGGAAAAAGATTTCATGAACAAAGAAAGGCAAGTTGCATGTCTCTTGTTCTCTACAGATCGAAACACATCTAGAATCACAGTTAAGCTGTACCTGGAATTGTCACTACACAGTACATGGTCCCATTCCTTTTAGCTCTACTGTACATGAAAATAACAGTACCTTAAACAGGCCTCCTTGGAACATGAAATGGATTTATTCATACAAACAACTGGTTTTCTTGCTTCAACCACATGAAGCCTTTGTGCCACAGTCAAATAGCTGGTTCCAAATTCCTGTGGCAGAAAACAAACATCAGATCTTGGTCACCAATGATCCAGAGTAACAGATTCACTACTTAAAAAGCAGTTCTAAATTTTTTATATGACACATTGAGGGGATATTCAGATCTTGGGTGGCTTCCATTTATATTTGCTCCTCTTCTAAAGCTTTTTCTAAAGCCAATAAGATGCCGTTTTTGTCCACTTAAATCACTTTTTCTTGCATTCATAACTTTTTAAAGGAATTATTTTCTTCACAGATCCCAAAATATTTTTCTCTACAATACACAGCATAAAACAATAATAATAATAATATAAATAACTACATATAAATACCTTAAAGAAAACTATCAGAAATGAATAGGAACAAAAGTTTTGAAAAAAAAAATGATTCATCAGATTTGTTTTATGATCTTCTTACATTACTGTTATTTTTTATTTTACAAATATAAATAAGTTTCTAGAAACAAAATCAGATTCGCACAAAAGTCTGATTTTAATTCATGTGATAGCTTAGCTAGATGTATGGTTTTCACGTAACATTAATTTCTAAGAATTCATAAACTTCAATGTTGAAATTTTAAAATGGTATTAACTTCCCTGCATGCAATCTTATAACAGCATATGCAAGTTCATATAGCAAAGCTGACAACTACAGATAAATTGTGAATATGATTATATTGCTGTTCTATGATCACTGGTATCCCTTCTGCTGAATGCTCATTTTTTCGAGGAGCAGTTTCCACAATAAATGTGGTAACATGGTACAAATGTTTCTCCTTCTGTGATTGGAGGGGAAAAAAGAGCAGCAGTTAGCTTGTCAAATGTAAAGGGTAGACTTCAAATTGCCATCTGACCAGAATTTAAGTTTCAATGATCGGCATCGGTGAAGGCATAGATTTTCCTCGATGTGCTTAGTTTTTTTACATTGCATATAGCATAAAAAATAGTATTGATTTTTAAAAATCATTAAATAATATTTGTGTATTTTTCCTTATATTTACTTCATATAATTTCTTCCTTACTACATGATATAGCTTTATATCAATAACAATGATCAAATTTTATTAATTACTTTTTAATCAGTAGGATCTTGATTATGCCATACCAACATACACCCATTGTGCAATGCATCAGTCACCTAATGTGCATATTTCATATGCTAACCCACACACAGAAATCAATTACTGATTCAGTTGTAAATAAGTAACACAAGCAACTATATCACTGGACACTGACAACTAATTAGTAAGGATTATTTTTCACATATTATCCTTCACTCTTGAGAAAGATTTTCCAAAGAATATGCAAGCGGATGACTAACTTTTATTCAAGAGTTTAATTAATGCCTTTGTCAGCTAGTTAAAGAAAGGAAAACATCATCATTCAACTAGTTAAAGAGGAAAGCAGCTAATTAACACAGTTTATCCTGCATAATTTCGGCAAAAGTATGGAAAAATTTTTTAACGGCACAGTTTGCTGATTCTGGAAATTTAATATATATAAAAATGTTCATTAATGGTCGATTTAAAAATTTTTTTTGTTACTTTGTAAAATCAGAAAATCCGGTTTGAAAGAAGATTTTTTGTTAGTTAATTTTAAACATATATTTTTGCTTTAATATTTTAAATAATAAAAATTCATAAAACTTTAGAATTCAAAAGTGAGAATTTTTTTTAACTGCTATTTAAATTGTTGGATAATCATGTTATCTGACTATTCCCAAATATTCAGCACTTAGATCAGAAAAAAATGCTTGCAAGATATCGGTTACAACCTACAGCAGATTCTGACAGACTCGAAATCTCTTTGTCCTCTACAGAAAGAGTTAAGGAAACATGCTCATGAAGCTTTCCATTTCTTTATGTATGTGACATCAATTTGCACACTGTTACAGTAAACTTAAAATAAATACTATTCCAGAAATGAATTTTATACATCTTATTTTGCAATTCGCAGCTTTACCAACTTAAAAACATTTAATGTACATAAGAAATGGAAACATAATACTCATTTCATGGCATGAAGCGTCTGTCACATATAAAGCTATCTTGCATAGACAAAGCAGCAATCAGGATTAAGGTCCGTTTCCACTACTGCGTACGAACGCGTTGCATCAATTGAAGACACGCCTATGGCATCTGAACAAGCGTTTCTGTAGATTATTTTCATTTTCCGCCGCTAGGTGTCACTGTAATATTTTGGCGCAAACAACCAATTCGCAAGTTACGATGTTGAACATCTGAATTTTTCTAGCTTAAGCAAGAATGGATCCTGACGTAAAATGCAGAAAAGTTTTGTTTACTAAATTTCATGTTATTGGAAATTTTTATTTCTGCTTATGAACTGCGAAAGTAAAATACGCTAGCAATTTTTAGGTAAGTAACGTTATGATGCATATTATGAACATCACTAATTGGATAGAAGCTGAAGTAAATTTTAAAAATTTCTTTGCGTTTCTAGGAGCCTTAAATATTAATGAAATAATATATATATATATATTAAAACTAAAATGTACTGTTACTGAAAAACTAAACAAATTAATAAAATAAAAAAGTTAAACGAATTAAAAAATAAAAAATAGTTGGTACTTTAAAAAATACAGAGCAACTGTAAAGAAAGGTTCACAATTTTTACAAAAAATTTGCTATGCTTGTATACAGCTGACTGCCATGTGAGATTGTATATTTTTAAAATATGCTCAAATGTGGGGTGAGATTGTATATTTTTAAAATATGCTCAAATGTGGGGAGAAAGTAGGTAAAATATAAAATTTTAGGATCGATTTCTTCATTTTCAATTTCTTCAGGGTCATAGTTGGATAATTTATTAGAAATCTCGTTTGTTTTAAAATGCGCTATGGGCAGTTATATTTTATGCATAATCCATAAAATATTATTTTTAATTTAAAAATACTGTCTCATGTTAATTGGTAATGAAAGTTTAGAGCTGTAAACATCCCAAAGTCTGAGCACATGTATGTACATTCACATAAAAGTGAAAGGAAAATATATATATATACAAGGAATGCTTTAAATTCATATTATGCAATTTTCAAAAATTTTTTCGGGGAAAATTTAAATAAATAAGAGCATAAATAAAACATTATATTTAATGCATATAATAACAGAAATAAATTATAAAACACGTATATAGATCAAATTGGAACAAGAAGCTAAGAAAGTTGCAGACAGGGTGGAAAAAGCGAACTCAAGACCCCAAAAGATAAACCTTGTTACCGCTCAGCTTTACCACTAAGCTCCATATTACATGGGAATGGTATGCATATTTTGGCTTATATACATCATCAAGTAAATCAAATATATACATCATCAAGTAAAACTAAATTTTTTGGTCTTATTTCAGTGTGCTATTGTCTACAAAAAATCACCAGAGTTTGTTCTTCAGCTTCTAGTACATTTCTTACAAAAAACATTTATCTTTTAAAGTGGCATTCCGATTGAAGTTAAACGGGCTGCTAAAAATATATTCCATGTGCTTACAAATATATGTTAGCCAAAAAGGTATATTTATAAATAGAGAAATACAAATTTAATATATTCTTTAATGCAGTAGAATATTTAAAAGGCTATCAAATTTAATTTATAATTAATGTTTTTAGTTAAAAGAAGAAATTTCCAGACAGTCCGCTTCAAAGAAATTAGGTGTTCAACATGTAAATTTCCCTGGGGTTGGAGACATTTTGCTAAATTTTTTCATTTAGTGCCATGCATTCAATATTCCAGAAATCAACCTGTTTCAAAAGGAAAAAATCTTTTAATACCATATCTAATTTGCTATAGCAGTTTGATATAGTCAGACATTCACTTTCATTAAAAGTAATGTGTATGCAGAACTAGGAAATAATTGTCAGGACAAATTTTGCTATTTCATGGACTTGGAATTATAATTTTTGCACCTGATTTTCTTGAACTGAATTTCTTGAACGCCTGTTTTATCTGCGAACAAGTACTGTAGTTGCAGTTATCTTTTTTTCTTCTTTTTTTAAACTAAATTCAGTTGATTGCTGTCTTTTTCAGCATGCAGATTTCTCGCTATAACGTTAATTCAGGAATAAGTATTTTTTAGCAAAACATTCTTTCCCTAAGCCAGCGTTCATCGCTACTTCTGCCCCCATTAATTTTTGGTGACAACACCTGATTGCTCCTTTTATCCACATGACCCCAATGCATCTGCAGGCATATGGATAGAAGTTGAACATTGCTGAACTCCATCCGTACGTCATCCGTCACCACGCATCGACCTGATTGCAGATGTCAAAGTGAATTCGCTCGCTGATTGGAGAAAAGCATAGACACCTCAATGCATACGCAGTAGTAGAAACGGGTCTTTATGCATTTAAGTTAAACATAAATGGTACTGATTTTCTAATTATGCTTCTCATAAAGTACACAAGCAACTAATTCAACTAAATTTAACTCAAGCAACTAAATTTCAGAAATTAATATGAAAAAACTCACCTCTGCATTAGGCATATCTTTTGTTGTTGCTTGCAGACTACCAGTAGCTGCTTTGACAGTTAAATTAGTACTTTTAATAGGGTTTACCGGGTTAGGATTAAAAAAGTCAAAGTTTATACTAGTAGTATTCCTGTTAATGCGCATTTTTTTCTTCACAACTTTATTTTCATTAGTCACGGCCTGTTCTTTCAGAGGTCCGGTTATTTCAGAATCTGCATTCAAATTTAAATCTTCTTCTGAATTACCTGACACTTTATCAGAATCATGATCAAAAGAGGAAGATGAAATCAGATCACTATTATACTTTTCATTTGATTCAGTTTCATTAAGCTCAGGCACTTTACCTTCTAATTCAGCAGCAAAATCTGCTTCATTTGCAGCATGTAAATTTGATTCAGTTTTATTAAGTTCAGGCACTAATTCAGCAGCAAATATTTCACTACCTAAAATTAAAAAAGAAATTATGATTATCAAGGGAAAGTGATTTACGAAATGCTATCTTCTGCAATATAATTCAGAAGAAGCACAGTTAATTAATTAATGCAAGAAGAAAGATTGAACACAAAGCCTGATATAAAAAATAAAACACACAAAAAAAGGCCAAACTTTCTGTGCTTTATTTTTTATAATGAATACAAAATTTCTTAACTATAGGTATAGGGACTAAAGAAATGCATAAAAAATTAAATTGCATAATAAAATTTATTTCTTTAAATTAAGAAATGCCAAAACATAAATATTTGCATCATTTATATATATAAGGGAGCACTATTCATAATTTCTCATTTGGCTGATTTCTCATTTATATGCTTTTTACATTTATACATCATACTGCCTTGGTCCCCATTCAGTCATATTTATTTCAATAGTAAAATATTTCTTTTATATGTCCATAACTTCAGTTATACATTGCTTTTGCTTCACTTACAGCATTGGTTTTATATTTCGCAGTCCCAGCATTCAAGTTTTTTTCCTAGCAATGGGTAGAGGCAGAGTCGTAGCTAAGGTTTTCAGCGCCCAGGGACAACTGAAGATTTTGCGCCCCCTACTGCTTGCCAAGAATGGAAAAGATTTAATTCTAAAATGTCGTAACATCAGTTTGGCGCCCCTTGGATTCTGCGCCCGGGGACAGATGCCCCCCCCTTGCTTCCCTCTAGCTACGCCCCTGGGTAGAGGAGAAAGAAACAAAGGCATGAGACATCAGTCTCGTATAGGAGTTGAAACCAATTCATGAATAGAGGGAATACTTGGATGGAAAATAGATGTTTTTTCCCCCCTTGTTGAATAGGATGCTGTGTTAAATAAACTAGGTGGAGCAGAATTAACTGATAAAAAATGTCATGAAAGTGATAGGCACTCTTTTTAAAAGATAAAATTCATATCTTAAAAGAATGTGATGAAAATAGTGGCTTGACGAAAATGGAGTTAGCAAACTGTGACAACACTAAAAATAGTTGTACATAACAGATAAAAGAAGCTGAACAAGGAAGAAATTTCCAGACAGTCCGCTTCAAAGAAATTATGTGTTCAACATGTAAATTTCCCTGGGGTTGGAGACATTTTGCTAAAATTTTTCATTCAGTGCCATGCATTCAATATTCCAGAAATTGGCTACATATTAATCAAGAAGGCAGAAGAAATAGCCCTTTAAGTGAATGTGAAGGATGATTGTTTTTCAACTGGGTGGCTACATAAATTTAAACTACAGTATGGAATCTAATGTCATATAATAAATGGAGATTCAAAAGGCATTCCTGCCGAGTCAGTTGAAGAGCGATTCAAGAATTTATTAACAATAATATATGGATACGAATGAAAAGACTATTCAATGTTGAAACTGCTGTTTTCTCTGAACATATGATTTGAAAGACCCTAGCTTTCAATGCTGACCAGTGTCATAGAGCTAAGTAAAGAACATCTCACCATTTTACCATTCTGGAAAAAAGAAAATGACTCCTTTAATTATAGAAAATTCAAAAATACTTCAAACATGTTAATACTCTTATAAAGCATGGATGACTAAGGATAACTTTACAGAATGGCAAGGAAATAGAATAATGATGTGACAAAACCACAAAAAAGTATTATATTGATCTATACAAAGTTTTACATTATATTAGATCAATGTACCACCCATCCTGAAATGACAGGGTTTTTTCAAAATGTGAAAGTTGCTTTCTTGCCAGAAAATTGCAGTAATGTAGTACAACCTTTAGACCTGGGTGTCATTAAGAATTTGAAAATTTTCTACGGGCAAAGGTTAATCCAAATAGCCCTTCAGAATATAACTGCTGGGCATACACAGAAAAATTTAAATATTCTTGTTGCTATGAATATGATTTTACTTGTCCGATCTCAACCACAAACAATTAAAAATTGCTTCATTAAAGGGAGACTTTCGAACCCAGAGTCAAGTATTCACAATGGAAATGATAATGAAACTGTTAGTATGGATGATAAAGATTGGAAAATACTGGGATTAGACATTACAATTGAGGTATGCAAATACTGTGATGCCCATGCAAAGACATTCATGCATAGTTGAAAAACTGATTGAAAACAGTTTACCATCTGAACATTTAAGTAACAGAAATGAAGAAATAATCTTATCTTCTTTTCAAAATGCTATTTACTGCACTGACCCACTCAGAAATTTCTCTGTGTGTAATAAAATAAGAGAGAAAACATTTCAAGAATTTAATTCAGTTCATAGCACCTTGCTTAAGATTCCAAATCAAAAGACTTTAGGCAAAAGACAATTCTTTTTCTTTAAAAAAAAAAGGTAAATTTTGCTTTACAAAGTTCCTAGGGGGGGAAATGTTGCTTATTTAAAATGGTGATTCCAATAACCCCCCCCAAAAAAAAGGTTTCGTACTCGAGATGTTAAATCATATAAAGGGATGACCCCCCAACAGTTCTACTTACATACAAAAATTTGCATTCTTGTGATTTTAAAAATATTAAATTTATATCTATCTTTTCAAAATATTATTCATAAAAAAATGTTTAACTATTTAAAACATTAGTATTATTTATTTATGTAAAATATTAATTTTGCTTGATCAGTTAATATTTTAAACAAATTGAAAGTACGATAGAGTTGTACAGCCAACATACCATTATTTCCCATGTTTCACATCATAAATGAGCGATTCATTTACATGTCTTTCTCATTTAGTTGTCATTTGTGAATGGTCCCTTGGAAGACGTATAAATGGTGACCCACCATAAATATATATAATTTCAAATTGAAGTAAAAAGTCAGAATGTAAATTAAATATAAATTTAGTTCCAAAAAATATATAAAGGCTAACCTATTCCTTTACCTCAGTAAAATTGGTAACAAAAACAGATTTATGTCTATTGAATGGTACATGGTTAAAAAACATAAGTGATCCAAAGAAAATCTACCATGTACGAGACTTAAAAAATACAAAGTGCTATGCAAATGCATGAAAAGTAAATCTCCTTTGTTTAAACCTTCAAAACATAACTTGTCCAGTGAAAAGTGTTTTGAAGATTTAAATGCAGTTAATTAACGAGATCCAAATACAAGTTTCGTTCCGGTGACTCACTAGACTCTATACAGCTTTGCAATTCTTGAATCATAAATTTTAATATGATATTTCAAATGAGTCTCAAATGAGCTCAGATTTTTTTCCTACATGCATTCTCACTCAAGGATAACAAATATGGTACAAAGTCCGAGATCTGGTTGTCTAATATTCGGAATGATCTAAAATCCGGACCTCAAAGGCATCAAAAACCTTTTTTCTTTTTGACTTTTTTCTTTTGTATTCTTTACACATATACATCTGATGTTTTTCGTCTCCCATAATATATCATGTAGAGAGTCCTAATTCTTAATTTAACTGCAGCACTAAATAAAACACCTCGTTATTGAAGAAACAATCATTTTAGCATAAATTTGTGTCATACAAGTAGATGCGCTCCACAGCAGCATATCTACTTGTACTACTACTACATATCTCTATAGCAACTTATCTCAAACCAAAATACTTATACTACTACTACATATCTCTATAGCAGCTTATTTCAAACCAAAATATTCCAACATTCTAACACCATTGATTTTACCACTACTAATATTTTATATCCCTGACACCACAACTTGGAGAATTATTATTTATTATATTTTGCTTCCATCACTGCAAGTTTATCAACACATGACAACTTGAGTAATGACTCATGCAACAATGTCTAAACATTTTTTTTAATATTAGTAATTGAATAACAGACTATGGTAACTTTTTACGTTGACATTACACTTGGCAATGATTACATATTTAACTTAAATATGCTAAAATATGTTGAGGAAAAATTTAAAAAGTTTCTTTCCATATGCCAGAAATAGATTTTGTTAATGATACTTAAAGACAAAAAGATTCCATTTAATGCTATTTGATTAAGAACAACGGATTTGTTATTCACATAAATCCAGAATTGGCGCCAGAACTCGTATGGCTACACCGGGTGGCAGAATTTATGGAATACAAATTTTTTTACTTTAGAGAAGCACCAAGCAACAAAATTAAGAGATGAAATAATTTTTAGAACTCAGGGAAAGCACCGAGATCCAAAATTTAGGGGTGGCAAAAATTTAGCTGGTTGGTAGCATAATTTAGAACCTTCAGAGACTGCATCTGACGGTAAGATATCTAGCACTGGTCCTCGATAAGCGTTAAGTATGTGGGAATTTATTTGGGACTCAAATAGTTCTTAAGCATGTGCAAAAAATAGACGCAAGTAAAATAAATAAATTAATACAATACAGGCTTAATTGTTGCAGTGCTATTAAGCTAAATTTTACTTTAGTGATTCCAAAGGAATTTGAGTTAATAGCAGACTGTGCTGTTCTTTAGCTTTCTGATTTGATCCAGCTTATTATTTTTTGCAGGCTGTTGCTATTACAATAGTTTTATGAAAATTACAGTTTGTCAAACTTTTATGTCAAAATGAGTTTCTATTTCTGGAGCTGCAACAGGATCTACAAAGTGAAAGCATGTTTACTTAGTCTTTACTAGCTAAATTTGTATACTTACTTATTTTTATCTCTATTTTCATAAACTTACATTTATTAAGATCACATTTATAATTATTAAAGAAGAAAGCAAATATCTTAAATTAGAAGCTAATATATACTAAGTGACAAAATATCTCATGACCAGATAAAGCCGGTCATGGCGATCACAGGGTTAAACAAAAAGTGGAATTGCTGCAAAAAATGGATGAAGGTTTTATCCATCTCAAAATTATGTGAGGAGTATGGCATTGGAAAGTCAACTGTATATAACATAACAGAAAAAGGAACTTTCTGAATGTTTTATGGATTCCAACACTCCACCTGCAATGTATAACAGAAAAATTATTCATTATGTTAAGTGACGATCATGACAAAGTGATGACTGAATGGCTCAGACTA